TACCTAAGCCGCTTTAACAGAACAAAGGCAGAACGCTGACATGCACTCCCACGTTGAACCTTCCCCATGCAGGTCGAGCACTGTGCTTGAAAGCTGCCAGCCAGCCTGTGCGTGACCCCCCATCCACAGCAGCCTGGACAGCCATTCGGACAGAGCTGTTTTCTTAAATCATACAAACCTCCAACATTAAATTGCTATGTCTGACATAAATATTATCTCCTTCTACTCTCAAGGAATTTTTCTGTGAAATTAAATCACACAGAGGGAGGGAGGGGGAAGGCAAATAAACATAAGTGTATCAATCAGCAAGCACCAGAAATGACTCAGAGTTGGACAGTCTAAGACATTAAAACAAAAGAGAAATAAAAATCTTAAGAACCTAAAGCCACAATGAGCAAAAGTCACAAATAAATCCTAAATGTGCACCCCCCAGCCCCCCCGCCGTGCAATCATAATGGCAGGCAGCAACCACCAAGTATTTAACTTTGGGGAATAATATCCACCTCCACCAGCTGTGCTTCGTCCTCTTCCATCTTCGCCTGAAGTCACCCAGCAAGCAGCCAGAGAGAAGGGGAGTATTATTGGAAACACTATCACCAGTGCAAAGAAGCTGTATTTGAACTTAAATGGTGAACCAGCATTACCAACCTTTATTGTCTGGCCCTCAGAAGACGCAGAATATTAAGCCACTTTGGTCTTTCTTCACCTACAATGTTGTACAAATGATGGAAATGGTCCTTTGCAAAGGTGGAATAGAGAAGGGAAGCTTCACTCTTTCTCAGTCACCAGATAATGTGTCGCTTTTTAATATGTTTTGACTCAGGAATGAAAATATGAGAGTGTAAAAATGGCATAATTCAGTCTGTTCTAACCTGAAATATTTAAGTCAACTGGCTGTAAGGGCAAAGTGTAATGATGCAAATTTTAGCTTTCACTTTCTATCAGGGACAAATGTTCACCCTACATAGATTTCTTTCCTTGGGGAGGAACTGGTTTATTTTGCTACTTTTATGTAAAATGGTGGACAGTAAAAACTATTCCTGAGTTTTATACTCACTTCTCTTTCATAAAATTTTTTAAACAAGCATATTTATTCATAGTTGGGACAATTCTCAGTTATCCAACGATCCAAAGAATAAATCTGTGTATTTAAAACTAATAGAAACACTGATGACTTACTGACTCATGGAACGGATTAGCATAAAAGAAAAATACTGATTCAGATGTCAAAGGAAAACAGTGTAACCTTCACGTGTTCATTTAGAGCAGGATCATATACATTATTTTTCTTCTTTACTGTACTTTTTTTTTTAACCATTCAAGCATTTTTGAGAGGTAAACAGGGAACTCAGAGTATCTTTTGATCAAGAGGGAAAAACAGAATACAACCACTCAACAATCTGTTAAGAATAATCTAATTCCTTGGTCAACACTTCTCTAAAATGTCAATATTTGGCATTCCTTGGGTAACATTTAGGAATCATGGATTCTCCCCCTGTGCTTGATTATCTTCACATTTTCCCTTAGATTTGCTCTAAATTTTGTGGTTTATTCTATATATGAATAGTACCTACAGGATATGGGACACTAGGTCCCCAGACCACATTTAGCAAAACAATTAAAAAAAAAGAAACTACTGCACATGTGAGCATGGCTTAGTACTGTAGAAGTAGCCTTTTATGGGGCAGAAATCCTCAAACCAGATATTTAATTTTAAATAAAAGGACACTAAGAGGTCTGACCCAACCTTAGGGCTACAGAGTCTACATTTTCAAAATGCTGTGGTTTATTTTTCATACATATTTGTTAAAGACAGAAGAGCAACTTCCTTAAAAATACCTGAAAGGGACTCACAGATATGATATGAGTTTAAAAAAATAAATAAATAAAAGAAAATAAACTACATGAACTTCATCTGGGTCCCAAATGCTACAATAATAGGGAGACAAAGAGTTTCTGAGATTAGACCTACACACACATCAGGAATAACAGTCACAGGTGCATTCTCCTTAGTGAAGAACAAGCTTGGTTTTCTAACAGCAAAATAGTAGCACTAAGGAATTCTATTAATACATATCGATCAGTTATGTCCACTGTATTCGAAGTTCTATACCAAAATAAAGTTTCCATCCTAAAGGAACAGCATTAACATTTATGTGCAAAATGGACAGACCCAAAACAGACTATTAAGGAGGTCCCCCTTAATAAGGGGGACTACTGTGGAGGTCCCCCTCTCCTTCTTTTGTGGCCTAGTATGGTTCAGATATTTATTTTAAAAACCAGTAACTTTGCACTCAGTGTAGAATGCGTGGACCTAGTCAATGAATATCAATGAGGGGAAATGCTTAATTACACTTATTTCTCATGCACTAACGCTACGTGTGTGTGCGTGAAAGTGTGCAGATCATACTGTTCTGAGGGCAACCCATGCTGAGATTTATGCACATGTTTACACTCTGCAGCAGGAAGGGTTAGGGAGACGTGGAGCGCCCTTGGCCGCACAGATCTGCAGCTGCCGCAGGGCAGCCCCGAAGTGCTTCCTCTTCCTCTGCCTGGTCACTCCAGTCACACTCAGAAGGAGCGGTCAGGGCGGCAGCTCTCGCCTCCAGATAGCAGAGGGAGAGCGCGAGAGGCAGGGAAAGGGCGAGGGAAAAAGGCACCGACTGAGAAGCGGAGAGAAGGAGCCCGAAGATGAGGACGAGCGAGGGGAAGAACGAGGCGGAGGCGGCGGGCACGTAGGGCCGGGCGTCCGCGGGGAGGAAGGAGACCCAGACCTTGGGGAGGCTGGGGAGGGCCAGGGGCCCGTCCTCCTCGAGCAGCGAGGGGAAGCGAGGCAGAAAGCACCTGCAGAAACCGAAGAAGGACCCACACTCGGAATCCGTGTGGTCGGCCTCCTTTAGAGCCTGCTCGGGGCCAGGGGGGCGGACAGGCTCGGGAGGGGCTTCAAGAGGACCCGAGCCAGGATCGCAGGGCCCCTGCTCTGACGTCTCGCCTGTGGAAAGGCGCTCTAAGCCGTCGAGAGTGATACGATCGGCCTCCCCAAAGGGGTCTTCCTCTGAAATGTCAGAAAGGAAGTCCATTTCAGGGACTGGCAACAGGTTTGGGGAAAGAGATGAAGCACAGCGGATGAGTGGTGAAGGTGGGCACAAGGAAACAGGCTGTTCTCGAAAGCAAACCATGGTTGAATGTGAAGTTACACAGCGGATACAATCAAAGGAGAACCAAAGGTGAAAGAACGAAAGAGAAGAAAAGAAGAAAGTTAGTGAAAACTTACTCAGAAGTAACGACTGTATTAACAGTATCATTAGAAAATTAAATGATCCATTTTTAAAAGAGGAAAACTGGACTACTTTCATCACACACAACTTAACAGGTATAGCCTGATTCAATTAGTATTTCCTGACTGGTTGCAAACGGACCCTATGAAACTCAGATGGCATTCTTACTTTTAAACCTGGTTGCTAACAAACATTGAAAGTATCACTGAAAAGGCACACTGAGTCATTTGCCAAAAACAGGCAGAATTTCCCTGGGAATTTAAGACAACTTTTCTTTTGTATCATATTAACTATGGAGAATAGAAGAGACTTGCCGTGACGCCGAGCTCTCCTGTTGGAAGTAGCCACTCTACTGGGTACACTGGTAGCGTGTTGCTGGTGAACACCAGTCGCTAAGTTGTGTCTGACTCATTGAGACCCCACGGACTGCAGCACGCGAGGCTTTCCTGCCCTTCACTATCTCCTGACGTTTGCTGAAACTCATGTCCATTGAGTCGGTGATGCCATCCAATCATCTCATCCTCTGTCACCCCCGTCTCCTGCCTTCCATCTTTCCCAGCATCAGGGTCTTTTCTAATGAATTGGTAGCATAATCATAAACTCTCCTGACACCTATTCAGTTATTGATGGATATTGTTTGATGTGATATCTGCTATTCTTAGTTAATTTTTAACCAAATCCTTTGTAGAATAGGATAAAGATTTTTTAACAAAGCAATGAAAAGGATTTAATGGCTCTCTCTACCTGCAGCACTGGTCCCGGCAGCATAAGGCAGGGCCCCCATGGAACCTGAGCCCTTCTCTCTGCTGGGGTTGGGAGCCATCACTGCAGGAATTCCTGAGACACTGGCAGTTACCTCTTCTAGCAGGCTCTTTATAAATTCATGTTACACATCTTTAACATTTTCCAAGTTAGAATTTTGAAAACATTATAAATTTTCAAAGTTAAATTTCTGGAAATATTATAAATCCACAGGATGATTTTATTTCTTTTTCATGTTTACTTCCAATGTTACCTATTCAAAAGTTTCTCTGTGGCGTATGGAAAAGAGATCTGAAGGACTCAAAGCCACTTCAGATCAACTTCTAAGTGACTATACTTAACACTTGCCCATGGTAATATAAAATAACCCAAACAAGCCTGAAAACACAATATAGGTTACTTCTTCATTCATTATGGCATGCACACCAAATAAGACCGAAAGCCATACACCATCTTCTCACACGGTATTCACAAAACAATTACTTTTTGCTTAAGAATTTCTTCTTCAGTGACAGATTATTAATGAAAAACCATATATTTCATAAAGACCACCTTTCTTCATTTCAAAATGTTCAAGTCACTATCATAATTATCAAGACATAGGCTATATTTTAAAATTTACTTGAAACAAACTAAATATGAATTTCAAATTATAGCTTTTATAACTGGGGGGCTTAATTAAATAGGATGATTATAAAGATGGACAAAAGGTCAATAAATTACTTACTTGGATTAAAGTAATTTACGTTGAAATATTTTGCTTTGAATAACAACCAGAAAAAGGTTAGAGACTCAGTCCAAAACAGCAAGAGTCTACACACGTATGAAAGGCGGAAACTTTTACCAACAGAAAATACAATGACTGATTTTAGATGATACCTGAGTTCTGAAACAAATGCAGTAGACAGCCTCTGATCTAAGCACACATTTAAAACTGCATATTCCACTAATTCACCATACCTTTCCTTCAATGAGCGGCATATGCGGGGCTCTAGCTGGGCTTCTCAGGTCACTTCTGCCATCACCATCTTGTACCACGGCAGTGCTCACAACTCCAGGGCCTTGTGCTGAAACCTCCCCAGCAGGGCCAGGAAACTCCTTCATAAGACTTTGGTCCACAGCATCAATTGGAGCTAGTTACAAGTGATCATAGGGATCGCATTAGGATGTTTAAATGAGAAAACGTTATGAAAACCTCCCTTTCCAGAAAATCAGGCAGCTTATAGACAATTAATAGAAACTGGAAGATTCTTTTGATCGTGAAAATAACACATCAAATAAACTCATGCTTATACTTTAAAAAATCACTGTGGGTTGGGGGGAGCTAACTTTAAGCATGTTCAGTGGCAGCTCCCTGCCAGTTTCAGTGTCACTTTAAAATTTGCCCAAAAGCAATTTCACTGGGGGTTTTCTTAAGGGGTAAAGGCCTTTTACAGAAGCTAACCCTTCCCCAAATGTGGTAGAATGTGCTGTTCTATATCTACTCTTCAATAAAGCATGTTCTCTGCTGAAAAAAAAAAAATACTCTGAATTGTAACCCATTAAATTACACCAAGGAGAGATACTGATCATGGAATTGGCCAGTAGGAGGAGCTCTAAGACCAGATGAAACACCAGAATCAGGGAAGTACCTCAGAATTACAACGTGAGCAGTACTTCAGTTCTCTGGGGTTTCTTTAATCTTGCCTGCACTTATTTCTGAATCTATCTATTGTGAAATAATTACCTAATTATTAAAATGGTTTGCTTTAGTAAATTTTAATAATTCCTCCATAAAGGAATCTTTAATTAGAACACTAGACAAAATTGTGGCAAGACAGGAAAGGTAGATTTTAGAGAATTAACTTCTCTGTTAGTATTTACTGTTTTTTATTTTTCTAACCTCCCTCCTGAATGCCTCGACTTGACCTTCAGCAAGCCTAATACATAGAAACCTTCTGCCTTAGTAAATCTGGCCTTTTGGGTCCCTTCATCTATCATACAGATGGGCAGGAACATGTACTGTATTGACATTTCTCTCATACGGCAGAGCAACCCAAGGTGGCCTCAGATCTCAACAAGGCCAAGTGAGCAGCAACTGGCAAAAGCCTCTATCTATCTTTAGTTTCTCCCCCAAAGAGTGGGACAACCACTGCAGTCATTTCACCTGCATAAAAAGCATCTTCCCGACACAGTATGGTTGGCTCTGGTTCCAGGCTCCCAGGGAAGCACAATACAGACAGACCTTTAGGCTGCAAGCTCGTGAAGGGCAGGGACTGTGTGTGACCCACCATACTGAACTTGGGCAACATCTAGACCCCTAATTCATGTGTTACAAGAAGCCTTAATCCACACCCCTCACATGCCCTGTCCAAACTTCCTTCTTTTCTGGTCTCACCTTTCACCAAATTACTGAAGTCAGAAACCTGGAAGTCTTTTCCTTTACCCCTCAACAACCAGCACGTCCTACTTGTATGTATTTCCAAACATGGCAAATACCTTCCATCTCTATTTTACCATCCAGGTACCTTTAAAGACTTTCATGGCTTTTAAACACTCATACTTTGGAAAGCCTGCACCAAATCCAATTAAACATTAAAACAAATTCACATCATACATTAAGTGTAATTATTTTCTAGAGTTTTTTTTGAATTTTTAAAAAGATTTTTTAATAATTTTTCCTTGAAAAGTTTATGGCTTGAGTAACTCTTTAACCTAAGATTATGGTCCCTACGCACTCATTATGCATACTCAGAAACTTACTGCAAAATGAGAAACTCTGACCTAGAAATGGTTTTAAATGTAATGATATGAAATTTTAATGAATATCAAATTTAAAGTTATATCATGAAGTTGGCAAGATGTTGGCACTGCACACTTTTATTAAACAGTCACTGATTTCAGTTTGCTGCTATTAAGTTTTGTCAGGTCTTAAAACCTTTTTAGAACCCTGAGATTACAAACCCAAGAAGCTGAACATTCAGTGCCAAATGGCTAATTGTACCATCTGAGACAAAACCACCAGGACTCACCAGGACTGTGCCTAACCAGTCGGCCTGAGCTTCCTCCCTCATCCTCTCCAATTGTTCTAGACACGGCATTAATCAAGTGTTGTTTTTTTTTTTAAAGACAGCACTGTACACTTCATGGCAAGCCAAATAGATGGGAAAACAATGGAAACAGTGAGAAACTTTTATTTTCTTGGGCTTCAAAATCACTGCAGATGGGGACTGTAGCCATGAAATTAAAAAATGCTTGCTCCTTGAAAGAAAAGCTATGACCAACCCAGACAGTATTAAAAAGCAGAGACGTTACTTTGCTGACAAAGGTCCCTCTAGTCAAAGCTATGGTTTTTCCAGTAGTCATGTATGGATGTGAGAGTTGGACCATAAAGAAACCTGAGCACCGAAGAATTGATGCTTTTGAACTGTGGTGTTAGAGAAGACTCTTGAGAGTCCTTTGGACTCCAAGGAGAGCCAACCAGTCAATCCTACAGGAAATCAGTCCTGATTTTGGAAGGACTGATGCTGAAGCTCCAATACTTTGGGTACCTGATGCAAAGAACTGACTCATTGGAAAAGACCCTGATGCTGGGAAAGACTGAAGGCAGGAGGAGAAGGGGATGACAGAGGATGAGATGGTTGGATGGCATCACCACCTCAATGGACATGAGTTTGAATAAGCTCTGGGAGTTGGTGATGGACAGGGAAGCCTGGCGTGCTGCAGTCCATAGGGTCTCAAAGAGTTGGACATGACTGAGTGACTGAACTGACCTGAACACTTATGTGCTGTCACAAATGTGTACAGATGTCTACATATGAACATACAGTCTTCAGTGGTTCCCTGGAACAAAAACCACATTCCCCACTATAGCCTGCAAGGTCCTGTGTGATCTGTTCCCAGCCTGCCTCTCCCCATCACTAATCAGCTCTGACTACAGTTGCCTTCTTTCTGTTCCTGGAATGTATCAAGCTGTCCCCAAACTTACGACCTTCAGACTTGCTGCTACTGCTGCTGCTACCTGGAATCTTTATCTCCTTTTCTTTTTTTTTTTTTTTTCCTTTTCTACTCTCTCATCCTTCAAGTCTCAACCCAAATGGTGCTTCCTCAGACAGACCTTCTCCAGTCTGTAATGTCCTTCATCACACTTTCCACTTTCAGGAAATCATGAGTTGTCTGTTCTCACATGCATCCTGGGTGTTAGCACACTCAATGACTGATTTGTCTCATTTCAGGTTTTATTGTGCAATCCTGGAACCTCACTGTTCTAAATTAGCTATCTAGGTTGATTTTTATTTGATATTTGATCTTTAGATATCACACAGAGAGTAAAAATCGATGAAATCACTAGTAAATTTATTTTGTCAAGCCTTAAATTGAAGAATATTTATATATCTAAATAGTCTGTTTAAAAACAGAAAAAACAAACTACAATACATATAAATAACAACAAAAAAAAGGTATATTGATGGTGTGGTGAGGAAAATAAAGCTTAGTACCAGGTTACAGCCTAGCTTTGCTCTGAAGGGAAAAAAAAAGAACATAAGCCCTAACCAAATAGTTCCCGGTCATGTATTGGCATGAAAAGCCTCCTATTTTTCACAATAACACAATAATCCTTTTGATGACTTGCCCATCTGATGAATTACAGTGTCCTAAACACAAAAGGAAAAATAATGGATTACTGTGGCATGTTTGTTGCTTTTACTTGTGAAAATCCTTGTTTTTGGATACAGACCCACTATCACCCGATGCCCTCACTGCCCGTACAAGACGGCGGGCTTCCTTGAGCACAGTCATACACCTCCAAGGAAAGGCACTGCTTTATTGCTCTTTTCCAGCTCTAAACACTCACCACATATGAGCTATAAAAACCTCACAGTTTAAAAACAAAGGCTGAAACAGACAGTGTGACAGAAAGAGGAATGACTTCTCTCAAGGCATGAAACAACACTGATCGCATTTATTCAGCACTTGTATAAATTCTCTGTGGCAAGGGGCAAGGCTTGTGAAATATTTACACAAGCGGGCACATTCTTTGGATTTACTTGGAAAAAAGTGCTCAGTTGTTGATGAGCTGAAAGATACTCTGACAGCTATCATACACCAATAATTCATTAAATGTAAATCACTACATTTGGGGATGTGGACATTTATTCAAACCACGATTTATGATCCCGTTGCACATTTTTTCTGTGGCCTCATAAATTATATGAAAGATTCTCCAGAAGATTCAGTAACTATATATACCAAAATGCCCACCAAATTATCCGTGTGTCTGCCCAGATCTGTTTCCTATGTTGATTCCAGGAAAAATACATCTAAGCCAATGAATGTCAATCCTTCACTAATGAGAGAAGATTTTTTCATCTATTAGCATATCCAGCCTGCTTTAGCTAATTATATGAAACATAAGTCATTCAAGTTTGTATTTCAGAATGATTATCAGCAATATTAATAACAATCAAAAATAGGATCTTGCTGATAAACAGCAGTAAAATAGAACTTACCCAGTTCAACATTAAAGGATCTTTTGCATATATGTTTTGAGATTAAGCAACCAAAAAATGTTGGGAAACTACTTTTGGTAGAAAAGCACCCACACCAGTTACTTGCTAGTAGGTAGAAAGGAAAAATTTTTTTTAATATCTTAAAAAAAAATAACCTCAGCTTTTTTATAGAAAATCTGCTATTAACCCAAAATTAGGGTAATAAGATATATATATATATATGTAAAATGAAGGGAAGCAACATCAATTTCCATGTGTAATTTATTTAAAAACTACAAATATGTAGCTAATTAGAATTCAAATAGAAAAAATTTATACAAATTTGTACATGTCTTTCCTGGGGTGTAAGAACAGATGAACACATAGTATTTCCTTTCTTGTTGTCAGAACACTGTACTAAACTAATCCTTGAAGCTGTGAATGGTCTCCTACATGCTAGAACGTCTGTTAAGCTTTATAAGAGTTTTTAAACCTAAAACTATGATGATGCAATGAATGTTTTGCATTCCTTTGAATAAAGGGTCTATATATGCTACCACATCAAAAATCCAAGTTTGCCATTAATTAATAAGTTCAAGAAATTAAATCACACAAAATACATCACAATTAAGAAGTCTGTCCAACATCTCATCAAAAACTCTAACATCTGTGTGTTTTGACAGTGCCAAGTAAATTTAGGTTCAGAACAACAACTTCAAAACACTATAAAATTATTTTCATGTAAGTGTAAGTAATAGTATTTTATTTACTCAGGGGAAAAAAAATATCTAGAGGCTATCCCTCTAGGTATTTCTAATCCCAATGGATTAGAAAAGGATGACTAGAATTCAGAATCCTAATACAATAAATGTGTTTACCTCCATCTAGACTCCTGGAGACCCGTTTACTAGAAGTGCGATCGAAGTGTGGCGCCGGCCGGTCAATCAGGCTGCTGGCCTGGCGGGTCTGTGCCTGCGTACGGCCGCTGTAGCGGAATTTGGACCCTAAGGTCAAGAACTTGGCCTTTGGTGGCTGCTCTGGAGACACAAGCCTATGAAAGTGGGGAAGGGGAACAAAATTAAGACTTCATGGATTTTTTTTTTAAAACTTCAAAACTATATATTTATTATCTCACTTCATTAAGTATGATTATTTGGTCCAAAAAAATGCTGCTTAAACTAATAAAAGTGAACACTGTTTATAAACACTCCTATATACAGAGCTTTATGATCATGATAAGATGAATAAATCTTCATTCATGTATTCATGAGTAATATGTTTTCCTCAACCTGAGCAAAAACGCAGCTGTTCTTTGTGTACCAAAGGTTATTTATTTGTATTAACTTAAATCATTTATATAAACACATATGCCTGAATTCTTGCTCCTAGCCTTAAGTGCCAAGCAGCAATCCATTACCATTAGCAATTCTTAATATTTATGTCTATTTCTCTGGGAAAGAACATCTAATTCAAGAATCTGTTCCATCAAGTGATGCTCTCCCGTAAAGCACACAGCAGATCTGCAGAAATGACTAACATCCTTTATTGGCAGCACGATTCTGCTGCTTAAACCCCGGGTCCATAATGAATGAGGTAAAACTTTACTGATGTCAACCACTTCCAGACTTATGTGAAAACACATTTTTAGTAAATGAGCCAATCTTGTCTGGTATACAACCGAAATGATCTTGCTTTCACTGCCTGATGAAAAACTAGCAAAGCATTTTAACAAAACAGATAATCCCAGAACTCTCAGAGAATGTATTAAATAAGACAACTTCAGTTGACAGTCTCAGAATATAGAGAACTCCACCAAAATTTTTCTCATCGTTCTCCAGAGAAGCGTGATTTCTTAAAGGGTTCTTTACTGTATCAAGTATGTCAGGCATTTCTGCTCAATTTTTAGAAATCTTGTGCTTAACAAGCAATGAAGAGAGATTCAAGTCTAGGGTAAAGCCACGTATAGTAATTCAAGAAGTGGCTTCCCATTGATTCAGAATTCTCAATCGTATTAACCCAGAAATACAACACGTTAGAATGAAACTGATGAAAAAAGAATATTTGGCTTAAGTCTTGTCATGGGGGGTGGCAGAAGTGTTTCTTGAGAACCTCCATTTTAAGCAGACCTTCAAAGGAGATACAGAAGCTGCTGCTGAGAAAGCAAAATCTGAAAACACCGGTGCCTCAAACTACTTTGGAAAAAGCCCTATATTCTTAAATTAGAAAGCCAGAATGTTAAGACATTTAGACAGGACATGAACTCTTATCTGTGCTCTGTATTCTCTTTCTCTACATGGAAGAAACCGAGGCACTGAAAGCCTAAACCAACTATGAGGACCAGGGGCCAGGTGAGAAAGGGGGTCATTTACCATGCGCTGCCTTCTGATCGACTGACTATGGTAGGTTTCCCTACCTGGCAATCCACCTAACTATGGTCAAAGAACGCTATGTAAGAAAGCAGTTATGTATAGAGAAAAGGGTCATTAACAAGCTCATCGGTGCAGCAATTAACAAATGCTCATTCTCCTTGAAAAACAAGTTGACAAATTCGCATTTATTTTCATCATCTATTCATGAAGTATGCTCTGTAGGTACTGAGAGACCAGTACCTACAAAAAACCAGACATTTGTAAAAAAATATCTCAAAGGAGAAATATGCATTGATGACCCAAAAAGAAATACACCCTGCTCCACAAAATTTTAAAAACTAAAGACAACCAATGCTGGAGAGAATGTGGAACAGCTGGGACCCCTGCATGCTGTTGGTAGAATGTACAAAATGGTGCAGAAGATGTGTAAGACAGTTGGAAGGCTCCTCAAAAAATTAAAAATAGAAATATCACATGATTCATCAATCCCACACATGGGTATTTTTCTAAAAGAACTGAAATCAGGATCTCCAAGAGGTAAGAGCACTCCCATGTTCAATACAGCAATGGTCACAATAATTAAGATGTGGAAACAATGTAACCATCCATTGATAAATAAATGGATAAAGGAAATACAGGATACACATAAAATGGAACACTATCCATCCTTAAAAAAAGAAGAAGGAAATTCTGCAATATGTGACAGTAAGGATAGACCTTGAGAAAATTACGCTAAGTGAAACAAGCCAGACACAGAAGACAAGTACTACATAATTCTGCCTATATGGGGTATCCAAAATAGTCAAATTCACAGACTCAAAGACTTGAATGGTGGTTCCCAGGGGGTGGGAGAGGGGGCAATTGAGAGTTGTTAATCACTAGGAAAAAACTTTCAACTAAGTAGGGTAACATCTGCTCAGTCATGTCCGACTCTTTGCAACCCCATGAACTATACAGTCCATGGAATTCTCCAGGCCAGAATACTGGAGTGGGTAGCCTATCCCTTCTCCAGTGGATCTTCCCAACCCAGGAATCGAACCAGGGTCTCCTGCATTGCAGGCGAATTCTTTACCAGTTGGGTTATGAGGGATGCCCCATGTACCAGTCAGTAATAATACTAAAAATGTGTTAAGTGATCCTGCCACTATAAAATAGAATTATTTTAAAAGGAGAAAAACAGACTAGAGGCGAGGAGGAGGGTGAGACTGGACCATCTGGCAGCCTCTGTAACTCAACCACAGGCCACACCTTCCCAGAACCGCAGCTCCATTTGAGCATTTTCTCTTATGTCCAGTTTGCAAAAAATATAAATCCAAGAAATACAAGAAAAATATTTTAAATCTAAGAAATGCAAGATATAAGTCATAATGCAAAAGGGGGAAAGCCATTAGCCAGAGGATTTTTATTTTACCTCACATTGAGATAAAAGGGCTTTCTTGCCCAACTGACAGTGATGACCACATACGCCAAGTATTAGCTTACTGATTAGTTTCCTGATCAAAGAAATCTTTAAGCAATTAAGCTACAATTAAACAGAAACAGACATCAAAACAAAACAAGACAAAAAGGGTTGAACACAAGCATTTATGAGTTTTCTCCAAAAGAATTTTTTGGTGACTTAAGTCAGTGGTAATGTAACTCCCCTGAAATGAGTGTATTAGAGCAGTCTTGAAAGTAGACAAACAGCACACTATGCTACCAAACTAAGAATAATGATAAGAGTGACAAACATTATTACATCCCAGAAATGGTTCTAAGTTTGTTTCATGTGGGCTATACCGTTCACTTTTCAAAGCAACCCTATAATGTAGGGACTATTGTTACTACCATCACATGAATGATGAAATGGACATTCACAAAGGTTGAGTAACTTACCCTCGTCACACATCTAGGATGTGGAGGGACAGCATTAGACCTTAAGAGTACAGAGCAGAAACTTTAAAGATGAAGGGTATAGTACACAGCTGTCTAGACTGCAGAGATAGGAAGCTGAGGCAAGGGAGAAAAGACCAGCACAGCGCACTTTGCTAAGAAAAGTGAAGTTGAAAATCATGCCCATGAATAAAAGTACGACAGAAGACAGGACGAAAGCCACAGGAGGCTGATCAGTCTGAGGAGATCTTCTGGGGGTTTTTTTGTTTGTTTCTTTCTTTTGTTTTTAAGAGAACAAGACACACACACATTTATTGTCCAAAAAAGATGTCAAAGGTACCCACTGAAGGGCATGATTCACAGAATGCAATCCTACATGAGGCCTGGGATCATGGCAGAGGAACAACTCCTCTTCCTTGAGACAAGACAGGAAGAATGAGTGAAAGAGAGAGAAATGATGCTTAGTTATACACAGAAAGAGAAGATGCATGAAACCAAGAACACTCATGACCCACAGCATCTGCTATCAGTGCACCCCATGATGGAGGGCATCTGAGCAGTGGGGCAGGGGGCTGAAGAAGACCATGCACATTTGTGACGGTGGCCCTGAGGATCCAGCCAAGGCAGGGAATGACTGCTCTGCAACAGCATCAATCCACAGAACTGTGCGAGTGTGTCTATGAGCATAGTTATGCTATTGAAGGTACTGTGTGGCAAGCACAGGTATAGAAACGATGAGATCAGGACACAGGATGACTAGACGCTGATGTGCAACAATGACCGGGGTTAAGGGGGTTAGAACACTCCTGACAGACTAGCCAAGGGGCAGGGTCCAGAGCTGGTCTCGCTGGGAAAGAAGTGAAAGCAGAGAGAGTGGTAAGAGCAGTTAAGTGACACCCAGTGAGTGACAGCGGAAGAAGGGCCAAGGCGGGCGGGTAGATGGAAAGGCAGCTGGACTTCTGGACCATGGCGGAAGACCAGTTCCAAGCCGAGAGGAGCACGGCCAGGTGACAGAGACAGGTGCACGAACAGGGAGCCCGCAGAACTGCACAGGAGTGGCCGTGTCTGCCACTCTATCCGCTGCCACCGCCTCGGATCTCGAGGGTACCCAGGGCTGCTCACGTGAATCCCAGGCTGTTTTCTCAAATTACCTGTAGAAAGTATGATGTTCCACACACACCTTCCATAGCCTTTTTGCTGCCCGATGGTTTGGCAGCTTAAAGCCAATGGTGCTCTCAAACTGTTCCAGCTAGAATAAATCCATAAGACAAATCAGCATGTCTCCTTAAGAGCAGATTAGAAGTTCCTGAAAATCATGGGCTCAGATATCTCACTAAAAACAAATTGTTCCCCCTTGAAAAAAAGGCAAATACCAACCACTGACATAAACCAGCTATCCTTTAATGTCCACTAACATTCATCTCACCACCTCCCCATCCAGGGATCTTGACCACTTAGCTGATTCAAAAGAAAAACGAACCTCCCTGGTGTGGCAGGCGCATAATACTTTCTCTCCTCTGTGAAACTGTGGCTGATACTTGTTTTCTTATCAACAGGAATATATATGCAAGTTTATCATCAAAACCCTGATGTGACTTTATTTTTTTAACCACAGAGGAATAAATAATAGTTCATTTTCTTAAAACTCAATGGAAAAGAATTCTTCTAGCTCATGGCCATAAGGGAGAACACTGACAAAGCCCAATTAGATATGCCCAGGGCTACGTGACTCTGCTTACCTCTGCTGGTCTAACTTTAATGTAGAAGTTACTGCGCTTATAGGAGATTTTCAGGATTTTTGGCCAAGCGAAACGATTGATTCTCAGCCTGTCTTTGTAGATGAGGAGTCCATTAGCACATACACCCAGCTTGATGTCCACGCCTTCTGAGTCCTGCCAAGAGAAAGCCATTTGACCATGATTAAAGCTGTGAAAGTTATACAGGCTGGAAAACCAACAATCTCCCTCAAACCATGATCAAGAATGCCAGTTTAACGGGCCTGTATTTCAATTTCAGCAACAGTACACGTGTTAACAGAAGCAGTAGGAGACTTGACACATCCTCAATCTAGATACTCCACTGGACGGGCCAGACGTTAGGTATGGCAACATGGCTACAGGATGCCGTGTCCTTCACAAGGCCTCACTCATATGTTCTCGAGCTTGGCTGCAAAGCCCAAAAGGGAGGAAACAGACCTCGATTTAGACATCCTGAAGCGAGGGAGAGAAAACTTGTTTTGTGAGAGGCTGTTTCAGCTCCTGAGGACAGTGTATCAGCCTGCCCTAAGGTCAGTCAGCCATTTTACTGTAGGCAAATTTACCTCAGATGGACTATGCCAACTAATGGCTGTTAAATAACGCCTATAGTCTGCAAAACACCAACCTCTCACAGACAGTTTCTATTCTAGGCTGACAGTGCTGAAATCTTTGAATTCTTTCAAGCAGTTTTCCAATAACTCTTAAGTGCTGACATCTAGTTTTCATTACAACATTCCTTTAGCTAGCATATTTCAAAGGATGGTAGACTATTCTTAAACTTATTAATACTGTTTTCTTTTCTCAGTGTTTTAATTTGAAAAAGATAACCATCTAGAATAATCATCAGCCTGAAAGACATTTTTAAAAATCAAATACATTTACAGACAAAAGTTAAAAAAAAAAATTGTCTCCTCATATTTCAAGTAGTATTGGAAGATCTAATATATATAATACTCAAGGATCTTTAAGAGAAGAACTAGATCCCACTCAAGATATGAAAAATTATTCAGAGATATTTACATATTCAGAAATCATTAATAACAGAAAAATTCTCACAAAATATGCTAAAACAAACCCCATACAGTCTAGGTTCAAGTCAATAAATGTGTCACATTTCAACTGTCTTGTTACTGAGAACAATTAAATGCAATTTTTATCTGTTTTTTAAAAACAGAAGTACTAGGTGTGTGTGTGTGTGAGTCGCTCAGTCATGTCTGACTCTTTGTGACCCCGTGGACTGTAGCCTGCCAGGCTCCTCTGTCCACGGAATTCTCCAGGTAAGAATACTGGAGTGGGTAGCCATTCCCTCCTTCGGGGGATCTTCCCGACCCAGGGACTGAATCACGATGCAAGCAGATTGTTTATCATCTGAGCCACCGGGGAAGTCCACAGTGGTAACTGATGTCAACTGTATTCACCGCTGTGATATGTGAATAATTCATATGTATAAATAATACCACATTAGACCATCTGAGCAGGTTTAAAAACCTCATCTATCAGCTGCTTTTATTCACTGATATCCTGATGGTCACAGTCCTCTCTAGGAACAGAGTGAAAGCTGGACTGAACCAGTCACACGTACCCAAGCAACATGGCACCAGCCACAAAAGATGCATTTGCTCAAAACATCACTAACCAAGGCCAAAGGGAGCGGCCGGAAGACTGCCCAAGACAGCATGTTCTCTGCACGAGAAGGGAGGCAGCCTTCGTTTGAAACATTCAACAAAGCCATCACCAGTGTGAGGTAATCTTTCAACCGGACATTGAAGCTACTTTATCTGACTTAAAAATAAACACAATCTGGATCCAAGTTAATCAGTTGATTTTCGACTGTTCCACATATTGTTTCAGAATTATCAGTATCTGTATGAATAGAAATTACAGATAAAGAAGCTAAAGGGAAGAAAGCCCTAGTCATCTGAGCCACCGGGGAAGTCCACAGTGGTAACTGATGTCAACTGTATTCACCGCTGTGATATGTGAATAATTCATATGTATAAATAATACCACATTAGACCATCTGAGCAGGTTTAAAAACCTCATCTATCAGCTGCTTTTAATCACTGATATCCTGATGGTCACAGTGCTCTCTAGGAACAGAGTGAAAGCTGGACTGAACCAGTCACACGTACCCAAGCAATATGGCACCAGCCACAAAAGATGCATTTGCTCAAAACATCACTAACCAAGGCCAAAGGGAGCGGCCGGAAGACTGCCCAAGACAGCATGTTCTCTGCACGAGAAGGGAGGCAACCTTCGTTTGAAACATTCAACAAAGCCATCACCAGTGTGAGGTAATCTTTCAACCGGACATTGAAGCTACTTTATCTGACTTAAAAATAAACACAATCTGGATCCAAGTTAATCAGTTGATTTTCGACTGTTCCACATATTGTTTCAGAATTATCAGTATCTGTATGAATAGAAATTACAGATAAAGAAGCTAAAGGGAAGAAAGCCCTAGTTCTCCATGGTTGGCTTCTGCCACTCAGCAACAAAGTCAATAAAATAAACTAATAAAAAGGGAGCACTTTCCTTCCTTCCTTCCTTCCATCCGCCGTGCTCACTGCCTCAGGAAGCCACCCCACGCGGGACATCAACAGGATCCCACGCCCATTGACGTCCAATGGCTTCAGCCGATGGGAAGTTCTCAGATATGATCAGAGAGGAGAAGCCAGAAAGGCCAGGGGTTTTAACACCCAGACTCCCTCCCTGTGTAGTGGCATCAGGGTGGCTCTGTCCTTGACAACCACAGCTCCCCTCAAGCCCTCTCCACACAGATCTCTCCCCTACTCTCTGCCTCACCAATCCACAGCCAGAAGGTTAGGAGAGAAGCTGTTAACAGCTCACAGATATCATTCTGCTCTTTGGTTTCCATCTGTCTTTGTCAAGAGCCCTTTCATTCAACATCCTCACCTTGTCCTGACAAAAGTGTGCCATTAAAAACTCTTTTGACAATAAAATAGTAATTAAAAACTTATAAATGTGCTCTCAAGCCAATGAAAAATGTATAAACACACAAAACTTTAAACTACATGAAAAGTGTTTTTAAATTGCTACAGATTTTTTTTTCAATGAGCTACAAATATCTTGTTCATCAGGTATTATCTAACAAGTCCATCAGGTGATATATTGAATAAATGCATGTTATTCTGACTTTTTTAAAGTGATATACTCCTAACCACACAGTAAGAACTGAAATTATAACAAAACCAGCAACTTTTTAACTTTTCTAACATCAGTTCAGTTCAGTTGCTCAGTCACGTCCGACTGACTCTTTGCGACCCCATGGACTGCAGCACGCCAGGCTTCCCTGTCCATCACCAACTCCCAGTGCGTGCTCAAACTCATGTCCATCAACTTGGTGATGCCATCTAGCCATCTCATCCTCTGACATCCCCTTCTCCATAACTTCAAAAACAAGAATCCCAAAACCTTCCAGGATTACCATCTAAAAACTGGTTTCTCACTAATGATCAACAAAAGCAGCAGATGGAAGATTCTCGTGTGGCAAGAATAACAGGGTTTAGAGGCGATATGGGTTCTGGGGGCCTTTAGGATACCAAATCTGCTCTTTCCTCCCTCCCTTAGCTCTGTGTGTCTGCTGACTCCACCTGTCTCCATCATACAGAGAAATGAGCTACAAGACACTGATCTGTTTCACCTCCTAGCAGGATGCGTCAGCAAACATCACACAGATGGGGCCACTTTACACTATGTGGCTGGGGGCAACAAGCCAGCTAGTGTAACAAGCCAGCTGCATTGTTTTATGTCATTTTTGTAAAAATGAAAACATCCAAACCGTAAATAAGATAGTATATGTGGAAGTGTTTTTACAAATTAAGAGGATAGAGCATCTAGCAGTTAAAAGTGTTGCTGTCAGAGACTATTTACTAACATGGAACAGTGTTTTCTAAGAGCAAGTTAAAAATTTACAAAATAATACACATAGTATAATCCCATTTAAAAAATGTGACATTGCTCAGATTTTTTTTTAATAAAACAAGAAATTTTAAAAAAATCAACAGTGCTTTTTTCTGCATAAACCGATTTTAGCCTTTTTATATTCTGCTCACCTCTATTTTCTATGATGAATGTGTATCTCTCTCATAATAACAAAAAAACATTTAAAGAAAGAAGGGAGACACAGAGGAAAAGGCAATTCTTTGCAAATATGAAGTACTATTAACACAAAAGCAAGAATTAATAATCTGAGGCCAAGAGAGAGGATATCTTTGAGTGAAGGGCTTTCCTAGAGATTTCTCAAATCCTCTAATTCCCATAACCTGCACTTCCTAACACGGAAGGATTGGCAGGGTGTTTTAAAAGCAGGCAACAATAGGGTCCCATCTCATGTTGAGTTGATTCTGGATATATTGTTCAAAACCAACTACATCTTTCACCTTATCTTTTGTACCCCCAACCCCACTCTCCATCCCGACTCTCCCTACTACCTGATCATGAAAATTAGGATCATTAAGTAGGAGACGTTTTTCAGACACGAGGCAGCACTTGGCAGAGCAAAAACTGGGACACAGCGTAAAGACAGAATGAGGAGTGAAGACGGCTGATCAGGTGAGTCTTATAGTAAGTATATATGAAAAGGGATCAACTCATAACATTGAGAAAAGAAGGAAGAATACGGGGGAGAATCAATGGTCCCGCCTTACAACCAGAAACCCCAAGGAACTACTATAGAGGCCTCGGGTGAGGGGCAGTAGCCTTTGCTAGAAGTGAAGCAGGCTCGTTTAAAACCGAAGCCCTCTCATAACTTCAGTCAACAGGCCAGGAAGAGGCAGCTCCCCGTCACACTCCCAGTACCTTGGCATGGTGCAGGTCAACACCGTACATGGAAAGCCTCTTGGCGTTTTCTAAGAACTGAGAGTCAGCTTGTGCTGGAGATAAGCCCCTAAGGGTCAAAAGACACAACATTATCTTATTGGTGGATGCAAAGCAAATATAGCCAAAATGGGGAAAGGAGTGCATAAGCTTAGAGTTTAGGATGAAGGGATTGGTCCAGTTAAATGTGCAGACAAGAAAGAAACAGGTAAGAAGGCTCAACCCTCAACTTCCAGCATTTTCTTCTTGTTGATGTTGTTCAGTCACCATGTCAAGTCCAACCCTTCAAGACCCCATGGACTGCAGCACGCCAGGCCTCCTTGCCCCTCACCATCTCCTGGAGTTTGCCCAAGTTCATGTCCATTGCATTGGTGAAGCCATCCAACCATCTCATCCTCTGTCGCCCCCTTCTCCTCCTGCCCTCAATCTTTCCCAGCATCAGGGTCTGTTCCAATGAGTCGGCTGTTCACATTCTCAATAGGAACCTACTCATTGCAAAGAGGTGCCCCTCCACCCTCACTCTTTTTATCTTAGAAAGTTGCTTTCATTTTTTTTCTACTAGGGAAAAAAGCCCAGCAGTAATGGGTACAATATAGATTAACTTTAAAAATAAAAGAATATAAAGTCATTGTGTCTTTCTGAGTAGACAAATATTATTTCACTAGGATTGATCATACTAAAGATCAGAAGTAGCTGTACTCGATTTTACAGCTGACATACCCCAACTAGACAAATCTTAAGCTTCTAGAAAGCAGACTTCTGTTAATCTTCATATTTTCCATGGCATTTCAGCACCTGATATTTTAATTTCAAATTATATGATACATGTCTACTGAACAGAATTGGAATAAAGTTAAGAAAATATTTAAAGTCAAATACTGCATTTATTTTTTTAAAGACAAGTCAGTGAAGGTGGTCTGTTTAAAAACCTCTGATCTCTGAAATTTCCTTTCAAATCATTTCAATCAAAATTTTTGAAAAATTCAATTTTGCAATATGAGACTTGGTCACTGGGAGTTTTAAAAACTTGTGCTTAAGAAAGCCATTTGTTTTCACACAGGTGTAAAAGTTCTCAAAGTGTAACATGTTATTTAAGTAATTAATAATCCTCAGCTAAACCAAAGTCATCCTCTGTGGACAGAGGAACCAACTGTAGATTCATTCCCTTTGTGTCCACTGCCACTCACATTTCTGATTCAAATCCTGATGCTTCATTATCTCCTTGGCTTTCTCAAATAAGGTGATAAAAACAATTAAAAGGCAGAAGAAATGCATAATAAGTGCCAGACAAGTACATATGTTTGTGTCAAGGGCGTGTGTGTGTGTGCACGCGCACACGTGTGTATGAAGGGAGAGGACTGGGATAGGGCAAGGAGACGTCACAGGGAAATGTAAATATTTCCGATAGATGAAAACAGCCCGTGAGCACAGTTCCTTGTATTATAGTCATAAAGACAACGAGGACATTCCAATGACTCCAGGTTGTCTTGACCAGTCCTAGGTGAAGCTTCACAAGGGCAAACTGATGAACCCTGTCAGCGATACCCACATGTCTAGCCAGTGCTCTAAGGGAAGTCATCTGAACCCACCACGGCCACTGCCTCCCCAGGAAGCCAGTCTACAGACCTGTGGGTCTTGTGCAGCTCTGCCACCTTCTCTTCCAGCTCTTTTGTCTGGGTGGGGGCAAACTGGAAGTCACTGAGGTCATGACTGGCGTGCTCTTCCGGGTCATAGTCCCCGAGCTCGGCCTGCAGAGTGTAGGATCCCAGGAGGGCGTGAGTCACAAAAGAGCAGGGCAGGCGACCCGAGGCAATGTCCTGCCGGAGCTGAAGGCACAAGAAGTATCTGAAGAACGGGGAAGAAAGAGCAGAGAGGACAGTTAGTCGAGACTGGAACACTCGTAATTCCGATATTCCTTTGGAAAAAAATATACAATATGGCACTCTTCAAACCCAGAGCAAAAAAGTATTCCGTAACAAGAAGCCCGACGTCCTCCATGGATTCCTAATTTTGTGACTTATTTACAGAAACTGAATCAGGAGGGCAAAGTAATAGATGGAAATTCTGAACTGCTACTCTGGCAACAGTGTATTTTTACTATTACAATAAAGAGTTTTGTGACTGCAGGTGAAATTCTAATCACTTAGTCTCCTTGGACTTAAAACTAATCAAAATTAGCATGCCCTTCAAAAGTTGTAGAGATTAATAAAATTTAAGAAACAGCTGCAGTTTTTAAGCATTTGCAAGAAAAGCTAAGGCCACCCACCTTTTATTCTCTCTACGGTTTTCATGCTAATTTCTTTTCCTGAGATCCTTTAATAATAATTACAAATTAGTCTATACTTGGAAGCCCTCACCCGCCCATTTACCCCATCCAAAGAGGCAGCTAATTCAGTTTACAGTAGAAAAGGCATGGGTTTGAGAGTCAGGCAGAGCTGATTATTAATTTACATGCCTAAGACTAACTTCTGGTCTGTAAAATGGGAAGAACTCTACTTCCCTTTGAAGGTGAGGGCAAAAAATTGGATAATATAAGTTAAACACATAGCATGGTACCTGGGAATCAGTAGCTAGTAGCCATAATCATAATATTATACCATTCAAGGCTCCAAGTGGATTATTATACAGTTATAAAAAAAATACTGGCTTTTACTAACTAACATGCAGAAACACATTATTTATACTCTGTGAGGATCTGGGCCTGGTCGGGGCGGGGGCGGTGTCTCCCTATCAACTCTTTGTGGTAACATTTTAAAACCCTATTTCTACTCTTAAATTTAACTACTTGCTAAGGTTACCATCAACCCCACCCAACAAAATGGCAGGAGCCTCCCTCCTGCTTAAAGACGGTTGAGAGACTACCATTCCTACGGGCTGCTGGCTTCTTCCTGTGGATCCTTTTCCCTGGACGTGTCACGGCCCTGTCCCCCTCTCCCCTCTGCCCAACGCATTCAGACAGACAAGCCGCTTCTGGTCCAGGTCTCCTGTTGAGTCCGAGAACATGGCCCAGTACAAGGAATCAGCCATCCCCCAAGTCGGTTACACCTGCATTACACCCCAATCTCCTGTCAGGCAGGGCAAGGACTCTGTTTATCAGTATCATAATCCCATAGTAAACAAGTACTTGTGCTCCTTAATTTTCCAGGAATGACAAGTGCGCCATAATTTTCTTAAGGATGAAAGTCAGCTCACTATCACTGTTGGCATGGGGTTCAGTACAGGGTAGGGGGGGAACTGGGCTGTCCAGAGAGGAGGGCAGGGTGGGGGGTGGGGTGAAAAAAATCATAGTTCAACAGACTTCCAAAAATAAATTTTAAAAAAGCTTTTCATTTTTCTACCTTTGCATCACCTTTGTAATATAAGATCATTACACAGGCACACATGGGTTACACAATAAAAACCATCTTAAAATGGTATTAAAATTTGAAATATTAAGTATCAGTAATTTTTGACAGTATAACATAGGAAACAAAATTGCTACAATTTTTTTAAAAATCCATTACTTGAATATAAGTGGGGAATTAAAGAAAAGTGAACAAAATTTTTGAAACTAGAAACAGTTCAAAGTATTTTGGAATATTCATTTCCCAGGAAACTTCTAAAACTCTACTTAAGAGTAAATATTTTTGTTTTAATGCTGAAATTACCACCATTCCCCCAGGGCACAGAAATGAGAGCTGTAAGTAAAGAATCATTTTTAATAAAAATATAAAGTACCTGGTGATATCTTCAGTCAGTTGAGAAGGATCAGGAGGATAAAACTTCACATTAAAGCTGAACAGCCAAGGAAGATCTGTGATTATTAAGGATTATGATTATTCATCTGATCAACATAATGACCATTTATTTACAGCTAAAACTTAAAGGTCAATCGGTGTTCATATAGTATAGATCAGTTCCAACATAAATCAGTTTGGAGAATTTTGTTTCTTAATTTAAAGAAAATATCATTGACAAAGCAAAAATGAAATAAAAAATAAAAATCATTTCCATAAATAACCCATCATTAAAGAATAATAAGGTTCATTTTTTCATAAATGTTCACTGGTAGCCTCTCACATGTGAGGTACCTTTACATGGTGAGCTAGAATGCAAAAATTTTAATATAACCTTCACATAATAGTTTAAGATCTGTTTTAACCACAGGATCTCTAGATGCCAAATCTCCACACTTAGAAACAAAAAGAAATCTAGGATTTCTACATTGCTGGTGTTTCAAATGATCAATGTAACCATTCAAGAAATGATTAATGGGCTATTTAAGAGAGTAATAAAACATCATAACACTTAAAGATAATGAAAGTATTTCCCAGGTTTTATAAAGTAGGCTTAAAAATATGCACATATAACATACACTTTGCTGTAGTGTGCCTAAAGAGTAAATATAGTAAGCAACCATGTCATAAAGACTAACAAAAGTTAAAACATTGCTATCTATATTACCACGTAACTAATGTTTGATTTATCATGCTTCAGGTGGCTTTAAGAACAAATCAACAACAAACAGACACATACAACTCAGGGGATAGGGCAGGCATTATTTTCCAAAAGCGATCAAAATAATTCCAGTCGCCTGAATTTAGAGTTATACTCACAGTTCATGGTGTTTCCAAATAGAAACCAAAAACAGGTGTGTGTCTGTGTGTTATTTCATATACTATTTGAAAGCTTTACAGTTGCTTTCACTTTGGACTTGAAGAAAAATTTCTTGAATCCTATTCTCTTGCTCAAGGGGTCATTTTGTTCTTTTCTCACCATAGACACTCTGATTTTCTCCCACTCAAAAGTCAATGAAGCTATCTGCAGGGCGGGGACAGAGACTCAGACATAGAGAACAGACTTACGGACACGGGGAAACTGAGAGGGTGGGACAAACGGAAGAAACAGTGCTGAAATACACACAGCACCGCGTGTGTAATGGGGAGCTCACAGGAAAGTGCGGTACCACACAGGCAGCTGGCCTGGTGCGTCCGTGACGGCCCAGGGGGGGTGGGGGGGGAGGCTCCCGAGCGAGGGGACGGGGCATGCCCATGGCTGATGCATGCTGATGCATGGCAGAGACTAACCCGACACCGTAGGACGATTATCCTCCAATTAAAAATAAACTTTAAAAAAAGTCAGTGAATAGTTATTGAATGTCTACCGTGAACACGCAGCACCACATAGCACCCTTGCTGAGTCTGGGCTGAATACATCATTACTCTACTAATAAAAGTCAATCCTGCTGAATTTAAGCAACAGATTTTGCTTCCCTCTACACATTTAAAACATCATAAAAAAAGATTTGGAACTTTTTTCAGTATTAAGAAACATGCCATTTTTTGGCCAACAGCCTCAGGTTGGCCGTGATGCATATGTACTTGTTAGAGGTCATTCCTAACCTGTAATTAAGCAAAGTCATCACAGAATTTTCATTTCATTTTTTAATGGATCCTTATTTACTTGTCTTCTAGGTATTAACACTAGCACATGCTAACCAGGGCAGACAACAGAAATAAGTTTCTAATAGAACACACATTTCAGGATCTATTTTCAATTTTAAAGTTGATTAAAAATAAATAAATAAAGTTGATAAAATGCACCAATAATGCTCAACTTTTTATTTAGTTATATAGTATTGATATTATCATTTCTACCTAGCTATATAAAATGTATGTCTAGCTATGGATTATTTACATATCAATATAGGCAAGCCTAAGATGAATAAATATAGTCTTATGTATCTATACAGTCTTACTTGTGTACATTTGCAAAAATGAAGATTCCGTGGTAGTTAATGTGAAGATTCCGTGGTGGTAGTTAGTGTTAGAGGTTCAGTCGTGTTCACCTCTCTGTGACCCTGTGGGCTGTACCCTCCAGACTCCTCTGGTCCATGGAATTCTCCAGGCAAGAATAATGGAGTGGGTTGCCATTTCCTTCTCCCGGGGATCTTCCCAACTCAGAGGTCAAACTCGGGACTCCTGCACTGCAGGCTGATTCTTTACCATCACGTAACCCAAAGAAAGGCAATGCCAAAAAATGCTCAAACTACCGCACAACTGCACTCATCTCACACTCTAGCAAAGTAATGCTCAAAATTCTCCAAGCCAAGCTTCAACAGTACAAGAACAGTGAACGTCTAGAAGCTCAAGCTGGATTTAGAAAAGACAGAGGAACCAGAGATCAAATTCCCAACATCTGCTGGATCATCGAAAAAGCAAGAGAGTTCCAGAAAAACATCTACTTCTGCTTTACTGACTATGCCAAAGCCTTTCACTGTGTGGACCACAATAAACTGGGATGGGAATACCAGATCACCTGACCTGCCTCTTGAGAAATCTGTATGCAGGTCAGGAAGCAACAGTTAGAACTGGACATGGAACAACAGACTTGTTCCAAACAGGGAAAGGAGTACATCAAAGCTGTATATTATCACCCTGCTTATTTAATTTATATGCAGAGTACATCATGAGAAATGCTGGGCTGGATAAGCACAAGCTGGAATCAAGATTGCTGGGAGAAATATCAATAACCTCAGATATGCAAATGACACCACCCTTATGACAGAAAGTAAAGAACTAAAGAGCTTCTTGATGAAAGTGAAAGAGGAGAGTGAAAAAGTTGGCTTAAAGCTCCACATTCAGAAAACTAAGATCACGGCATCTGGTCTCATCACTTCATGGCAAATAGATGGGGAAACAGTGGAAACTGTGATAGACTTTATTTTCTTGGGCTCCAAAATCACTGCAGAAGGTGACTGCAGCCATGAAATTAAAAGACCCTTGCTCCTTGGAAGAAAAGCTATGACCAACTTAGACAGCATATTAAAAAGCAGAGACATTGCTTTGCCAACAAAGCTATGGTTTTTCCAGTAGTCATGTATGGATGCGAGAGTCGGACTATAGAGAAAGCTGAGGGCTGAAGAATTGATGCTTTTGAACTGTGGTGTTGGAGAAAACTCTTGAGAGTCCCTTGGACTGCAAGGAGATCCAACCAGTCCATCCTGAAGGAAATCAGTCCTGAATATTCATTGGCGGACTGACGCTGAAACGGAAACTCCAATACTTTGGCCCCCTGATGCGAAGAGCTGACTCATTTGAAAAGACCCTGATGCTGGGAAAGATTGAAGGTGGGAGGAGAAGGGGATGACAGAGGGTGAGATGGTTGGATGGCATCACTAATAATGGAAATGAGTTCAATAAACTCCAGGAGTGGGTGATAGACAGGGAGGCCTGGCATGCTGCAGTCCATGGGGTTGAAAATAATTGGACACGACTGAGCGACTGAACTGAACTCAAAAAAGATTAATGCTTACCTCTTCTAGTTGTCTCTTAACTGAATAAAAAATCATAGCAGAGACTGGGCTAAGACAGAATAAACAGTTCTTTTGTCCATTTTAACACAAGCAGAAAGAGGTAAAAATACAGCAGCTAAAACTTCATTTCCTCAGCCTACTTTCATGCTCAGGATGGTACAGAACTTCACTCAGGAAACCAGCTCCAATAGTTTGGAAAAGCCAGATCCTATGTGTTAATGTTATTCCTCTTGCTAAACCACAAGGGCAAGTTCTGAAATAACTCTTTAAAAGAAAAAAGAAAGGAAATAAACCTTCACAAATAACCAAAATGTAAGACTGCGATTCATAATCAGCAAGAAAGTCTTGCCCTCTAAAAGTTAGGATAGCTCCATGACTCTGAAATGAGTAGCACATAAAAATAATCCAACAAAAGCCAGAACAAAACCATAGGAAACAAACTCAATAGAACATCAATCGTGTTTCAGAGGTTATTCTGTTCTGTCCACGGGTTGGGTCACTTGGCAGGTCTGGCTTCAGAGAAGTGAAAGAACCAAACATCTGTCTCTTGTGTGAATTCATGAACTTTGCCGAGTTTTAACAACTGTAGAAAGGACTAGAAAAAGCTCCAAAGCTTTCTCATACAGTTTCGTACATAATGTAAGCACAATGTATCTATGTCTAATTACTACTTTTCTTTATTCTCTCCCTTTTCTATTATGGACCAAACGTAACTGGATAAAACATCAAGCTGATAAATGCAGGACAGAGGAATGGGTGGAAAGCCAGGGGTGATAGTCAAAAGACAGGGTGACCCCAGATGACACTTAAAGCCCCATAGCTTGAGAAACCCGTCAGGCCCTTAGTCCTGGGCAAACCAGGAAAGTTACTCTAATCAATGCTATTTTTAAAACATGAAAAGAAAGATGAGTATACAAGGAGAGGAAATGGGAAAAAATTATACACACAGAGTGGAAAAGGAGAGTACAAAAGGAAAGAAATGACAGGGAAAACTGCCCAAATGATCAATAATTTGAGACAGAGAGAGAAAGAAATGAAGAAAACAAATGTGGAGAATCAAAACTGAGAAAGTAGATGGAAAGAAATAGAAGGGAAAAGCAGAGATGTGTATCAGTGTTTTAATGCTGGGAAGAAATACGTAGGGAATAACAAACAAGAAGGGAAAGGAAACCAACAGTCCCAAGGGCACCCTGCCGGCCAGGGAAACAGCTTCTCCCTGGACAGCGCTGGGGCCCAGCATCCAAAAGCCTAGGAAAAAATCTGTTGTCTTGTCTAAACATTCCAGCTCTTCATGGCTCCCTGCCTTTTCTGCTTCAGACTTTAACAGACCCTGAAGTAAATGAAGTAGCCAGATCCTCTATCAGAGATTCTTGTGTGATGCTAATGATTCCTGACGCAGATATCACGAAACCAGTCACAGGAGAGAACTGAAGCTGGTTAGAGAGGGATACATCAGTCACTTAGGGAGACAACAGAACAAATGGGAAAATGGAAGACAGGGACAAGCAGGACCAAGAACAAACCCAGACTCAGAGCACCAGTGGTCCAAGGAGGAGGGATGGTTTTATATGATCTTCATCCCTCAAACCCTCACTCCAGGACATCTAGGAACACTGCATCCACATGCTTCTGGAGCCAGAGGTCGGCTTATCAATTAAACTAACTGGCTGCTGCTGCTGCTAAGTCGCTTCAGTCGTCTCCAACTCTGTGCGACCCCACAGACGGCAGCCCACCAGGCTCCTCCGTCCCTGGGATTCTCCAGGCAAGAACACTGGAGTGGGTTGCCATTTCCTTCTCCAATGCATGCATGCATGCTAAGTCGCTTCAGTCGTGTC